CTCATCATCGAACATCGAAGCGAGCAACGAATGGCGCACGTCGACGCACTAAGTCGTATGCCTAACGAAGACGGTTGCGATCTTGAGGAAGCGACTTTGCGAGTCTGGAGGGCGGAAATAACTGAGGCAGATTGGCTTTACAGTATGCAATTACAAGATAGCAAACTTCAACAAGTCGTAATGAAAATTGAGGAGAAGGATTCACACATTATTAACGACTATAAAATAATTAACGGACGACTGTACAAACGGTATAAAAACCAACAGCTCTTCGTAATATCAAAGGCTTTGCGATGGAAGGTGACACATGATGCACATGTTAAAACAGGACACTTAAGCGTTGACCGAACGATTGAATACTTACTACGGTCTATGTGGTTTGCTCGAATGCGAAACTTTGTCAAATCTTTTGTGAAAGCGTGCATTGATTGCGCCTTCACTAAGCGTCGAGGAGGTAAAAAGGAAGGTGAGTTACATTGCGACAAAATGGAGCCTATTCCGTTCAAAACAATACACATTGACCACCTGGGACCTTTTCCCCGAAGCCGAAAGTTAAACGAGTATATCCTGGTTATTGTGGACAGTTTCACAAAATTTGTCATCGTCAGACCAGTGAAAAGTACGAACACTAAACAAGTCATCGCCATTCTGAATGACGTTACCAGTTACGTTGGTAACTGAAAATATAATAAGTGATCGTGGTACCGCATTTACCTCAAAAGAATTTGAAAGATATTGTAACGATCAACAAATCAAACACATACGCAACGCAGTCCGTACACCACGAGCCAATGGACAAGTCGAACGATTTAATCGCACCGTTTTATCCATGCTGCAACCATCAACACAAGATGACCGAACCTGGGACGAGCAACTACATTGTACATTGAACTCACTGATTAGTCAAACGACAGGAAAATCTCCAAACGAATTGCTTTTTGGATTCAAGCCACGCGACATATTAGGTAACAAGCTGATCCAAATTCTCCAAGATGAAGACGATACTATTCCCATCACCCAAGAAGAACTCCACCGCCGACGAATACTTGCTGCTAATAACACCGATAGTAAACGGGTAAACGCGAAAAAGCGTTTCGACGATAAACACAGGAAACCAACGAAATATGAGCAAGGTGATTTAGTTCTAACAGAACGAGAACCAGCATCCACAGGCACGTCCCGCAAACTTGAATGTCGATATAAAGGACCGTTCGTAGTCACCAAAGTTCTCGATAATGACCGTTATGTCATCGAAGACCTACCAGGATCCGATCGAAAACAATGACATTATAAATCTGTTTATGTGTCTGATCTCCTAAAGCCATGGTGTCAATTGCCGTACGAAGAAGAAACTGATTCCGAGCGCGAGGACGCTTGACGTCAGGAAGGGCCGACTGTTAATCTACATCCGAAACGCACAACTGGGCACCTTAAAATTTTAACAACATGTGGTCACCTAACATATGTGTGACAGCGAATGTCAAAAGCGAGTGAACGAGAGTAAGGGAAGTTCGTTGAATAGCGTCAGTTGGATAGCGTCGTGATTAATTATTTTGTTCAGTTAAATAAAGTATATTAAAGTTATGTTATTAAATATTTTGTTCAGTTAAATAAAGTAAATTAAAGTCATTTAAATAAAGTTTATTAAAGTTATGTACTTAACTCAAAAACCAAATTTAAATATATATAATGTTATAAGTAAATTTTTTTTTTTATTTAAATATTTTGATTTTACAATAGTCTTACAATGTTGCACATGTTTATTATATTATTTATTATATTATTATATTTTTATGTTATTATTATATTATATATATGTATCAGTTGTATAAGTCAATTTATCCCCTTTAAGGATAAATATGTCGCTATAATCTCGAAGGCTACCCACTATAACTGATCTCTCGTCCTCGTTAATGTTATCATCTAATTTCACCGAATTCATCAACAAGTTGAATCGCTCCGAGTCCTTCGTGTTGCTTATTAAATTTACATTGCGGTTCACCTCCACATTTGATTCTTCAAACAGCTCGTAACTTGTCCAAACTTGATTTTGTAGCACCACCGCAAATTCATTGGAATTTAGTGCAGGGATATGCCCTGTGTGATTGATAACTCGAGTCAGTGTGCCACCTACGTATACATCAGATTTCTTTCTGGCTCACGACTATGTCTCCTGACTCGACAGAAACTTTAATCGGAACAATTTTAACTGACCTATCCGGGATTGTGATGGACTTGGCTATACAAATCCGTCGGTTCCCCTCCGCTCGGGTGAGTGGCAGTGGTGCCATTCTCTTTCCTTTGTCCAAGAAAATCAATTTTTTGTGTACAGTGACTGCTATATATCGATTCCAAACTTCGTCTCTACCCAATAAACCATCAGCAGGTAAACTTGTCCATACCGGGACCACGTGCATCCTAAAGTTGAGTTCGGGTATGTCTTTGTGTTGAATTACTACGGACCCTAATGTATAAGTCTTTCCTCCGAATGCACAAATCAATTGTTTAGTATCTGCTGCATACTATATTATTTTATATTTATATTTTATATTATATGGTAGGTGTGCACCTAGCTTAACATATTATACGGACACACACTTGTCATTAACTTATAAAATTATAATAAAAGTCAGTCGTTAAGAAAATCTCAAACCGTGTGTTTCTTTTTTGTGTACAATACACGACAATTTGGCGACGAGGATAACGATGTGCAACTTAATAAAACACTTTATTTTATGTTTAAAAAAAATTATGTTTTATTGGTTTATTATTTTTAACATAACCGGGAAGACTATGTCTTCTTATTCCGTATTATAATTTTATAAATAAAAATTAGGGAAGACTATGTCTTCTTATTCCTTTATATTTTATTTTTAAAGACTATGTCTTTATTTTCGAATTGTTAATTTACAACTAACTTACTCTACAGTTTTTACTTATCATCAAACATTGATCATCACCTTTAAATTCAACGTGACCAAATAATGCAGACAGGGCGTCAGCACTTTTAACCGGTCAGGTGAATAACATGAAAAAGAATTATTATAATTGAAAGTAAGTTACCAACGAAAACAGGAAATGCATGTCAACGAACTCGTTGTTGCAAAAATTAGTGCAATTAATAAGAAATATTTCGCAAGAAATATTATTTATTAACGGAAAATATTGTTGGTATTAACTTGCACAAAGATAAAAGGTTTTTTATTTATTTAAAATTAAATAAAAATATAAAAACAGTTAAAGTGAAATATATGTAAATACATATAAACGTTTAAAAATTTAAACGTATATATATAAAAAAATTGTGCATAGCATATCACGCGGGATTTTACATTCGCACGTGTGAATCTTAAAAAAAAAAACAATATAAAGAAAAAAAGAAGAGAGGATTTGTTGATTGGTGATTAAAAGCAATATAAAAACACAATAAAAACAACACACAATGCCTACAAACAGAGCTGAAGGTACAGTAACTATTTATCACCCAAATAACATACAACAATTTTCGCCACAAAGGGAGAGTTGGGTTGTCTACAAAGAACAGCTTCAGATCCACTTTGCAGAAATTGACTGCACCGAAAAAAACCAAAAAAAAGCTACACTTTTAAAAGCTATTGGGCCGACGCCATACGAATTGCTGCACAATCTGTGCAGTCCAGCTTCACCATACTCAAAATCGTATAAAGAGCTTTGCGATCTTTTGCAAATGCACTACACTCCACCATTAATTGTTTTTAAGGAGCGTAAAAGCTTTCACACTGCTGTACAAGGCGATGGCGAGACGGTATCGGAATGGCATGCCCGTGTTAAGAAATTTTCGCTCTCTTGTAAATTTGGAGAAAATTTAAATGCGTTTGTTCTTGGCCGTTTTGTAATGGGTATAAATCATAAAATTTTTGATCTCTTGTGTGAAGAAGACGAGAAAATAACAATTGAAGATGCTCTCCGTAAAGCACTAATAATGGAGATGAAGCTAGTACGAAAAACTGACAACGTTGCAAATGTCAACTATGTTAAAAACTTTAAGATCAACAAAAGCTACAACAACAACAACAATAAAAGAAATTTCAACAATGCCAGTAACCAACAACAACAGAAGGACGCAAATGTAAAAAAATCAGTTTGCTCGCACTGTGGTTGGAAAAACCATTTATCAAATGTTTGTAAATACAAACATAGTAAATGTCACAACTGTAACAAAATAGGACACGTTGCTATAATATGTAAAAAAAAGTTTGTTAATTATGTATCAGAAAATGAATATTCAAGTAATGAATCTCTAGCAACTAATTTTTATGACTTTTCCATTTTCAGTGTTAATAAGAAATGTAACGATTCAACTGAACGTGTAAACGTTAAAATCAACGGATTGGATATGAACATTGCTTGCGATTCGGGTGCACCATGCAGCTTGGTATCGAAAGAATTTGCTCAAAAATTTAATAAAAATATAAGTCTTGATTTATGTCATGAACCATATGTCGATTTTAACGGAAACAAAATTAAAGTCATAGGCCAGTAATATCAATTGATAGAATGCAATGGTATAAAAAAACAAGTGTTGCTCGTGGTCATGAATAATAACAACAGTCCATTACTTGGAAGAAATTTCTTGCGTAAATTCAATTTTGAGTTAGTGCAAATAAATTTGATTACAAATTCAAATGATCATGCTATACTTATCGAACAATTTAAAAATGAATTTCATGATGTTTTTAAAAATGACCATGGCACGTATAAATTGGGAAAAATTTCTCTTGAAGTTGAAAAAGATTGTAAACCTGTATTCTTTAAACCACGTAAAGTACCGTTTGCGTGGAAAGCTAAAATTGAAAATACCTTGAGAGATTTGATAGCTAAAAATGTTATAGAACAAGTTGAACATTCCGATTGAGGCACTCCATTAGTTCCAATTTTAAAGCTTAATGGGGATATTAGGATTTGCGGTGACTATAAAGTCACAATAAACAAATATTTGTCTGACTTTCATTATCCTTTACCATTAATAGACGAAATATTTGCGTCACTTCAAGGAGGTGAATTATTCACCAAACTTGATCTATCAAATGCTTATAATCAACTCGTTCTAGACGAGAAATCTCAAATGCTATGTACATGGTCAACTCATATTGGCACATTTAAAATGAAACGATTACCTTTCGGTGTTAAACCGGCAGCAGCCATTTTTCAGAAAACCATTGAAGGTTTGTTGAGAGACATTCCTTTTGTAGTTGCATATCAAGATGATAACACAGTTTCGGGTAAAAACATGTCAGAACACATCAAAAATTTGAAGGCAGTTCTTTCTAAATTAAATTTTGCTGGATTAAAATTAAACATAAAAAAATGTGAATTTTTCAAAAACAAAATATCGTATTTGGGATTTACCATTGATAAGTATGGTTTAAGTAAAAACAAAGAACGAACAGAATCTGTTTTAAATGCACCTATACCTAGTAATATTTCAGAGTTAAGAGCGTTTTTAGGTATGGTCAATTACTATTCAAAATTTATAGACGGATTTTCTAACAAAATGATGCCCTTGTATAACTTATTAAAGAAAGATGTTAATTTCAAGTGGTCTAAAGATTGCCAACTTGCTTACGATCAAATTAAGAAATATGTTACGTCAGAAAAAGTTTTATTTCATTTTAACCCAAAGCTACCGATTGTACCAACGGATGCTTCAAATTCTGCTGTAGCTGGAATTTTGTCGCATGAATTTGCAAATAATGAACGTAAACCCATAGCGTTTATATCTGGAGCTTTATCTAAAGCTGAGCAAAATTATAGTACTCTTGAAAAAGAGACGTTAGCAATTTTCTTTTGCATAACAAAGTTAAAACAATATTTAATTGGTAATTATTTCGTTATAAAAATGGACCATAAACCGTTAACGTCAATTTTTAGTGAAACAAAAGGTTTACCAATAATGGCAGCAGCTCGCATGCTACGATGGGCCTTCATTCTTTCAGGTTTCAACTATAACATCACATACGTCAATGGACACTCCAATGACGCTGATCAATTGTCACGAATGCCTCAACGTAAGTTGAATGAAAACACTAATGAAGACAGCACATTTGTAAATTTTATCGAAAATGATAATATTTTAAGCCTTGACTTTAAAGGCATAGCAAAAGAAACCAGACGAGACCCAATTTTGTCTAAAATTTGTAAAGCCGTAAAAATGGGAACACTTAAAAATTTGAAGGGAAATGAATTCTCGATCTTTGTAAACAAAGATGTTGAGCTAACCGTTGAATATGATTGCTTATTATGGGGATATCGAGTTGTTATACCTTAAAAACTTAGAAAAGTTATCCTTAATTTGCTTCATGAATCTCATTAAGGGATAGTTAAAACCAAAGCATTGGCTCGAACGTTTGTTTGGTGGCCAAAATTAGATTCAGAAATAGAAGAACTAATAAAAGCATGTATTCCTTGCCAAAAACTGTTGCCTAGCCCTGAAAAAAGTTCACTAATTCCCTGGAGACCAACAAACGCTGTTTGGCAAAGACTGCATATTGATTTTACTGGTCCGATTAAAAATTTTAATTTTTTTGTTATCGTTGATTCTTACTCTAAGTGGGTTGAAATGTTTAAAACCACAGAAATAACCTCCAATTTTGTCATTTCCAAATTAGGGGAATTTTTTTGCCGTTTTAGAATTCCACATACTCTTGTCAGCGACAATGGCAGACAATTTGTATCTGAAATTTTTAAAAACTTTATTAAAAACAACAAAATCAACCACATTTTAACTGCTCCAGGTCAACCATCGACCAATGGACAGACGGAAAATTTTGTTAAAACGCTAAAAATATCAATTTATGCTAATTTAAATTGGAATAAAAATGAAAATCTTGATATCGTACTTAATCGTTTTCTCATGGACTATCGTAATACCAAACATTGCACGATGGAAGAAAGTCCGGCTCAAATATTACTGGGTAGATCCATAAGAACACGATTTGATTTTATTAAACCACCCTTAATTTATGATAAGATTATTGAAAAGCAAGAAAAATATATTTCTAATTACAAAGGAAATAGGTCAGTAGATTTCAAGAAGGGACAAAACGCTTTTGTTCGTGATAACACCAATACTAATAAAAAATCGTGGACTCCAGCAACAATTAAAGAAAAAATTGGCCCACGATCGTTTTATTGTGTCTTACCCAATCAAAGAATCAAAAAACGACATATGGATCAGATACGATCAGGAACAGGTGAAAACCAATTCGTCAGTAATGAGTTCATATCAAATTCGTATAATTCTGATTTGTCAAATTTAAATGATTCAAATACATCAGTTGGACCACTACAAAATTCTGTTGTAGATTTAACAAATGAAACGTTAAATGAAAATAATGTATTATCGCAAAATGAAAATTTACATGAAAATTTATTGAATAGAAATGAATTACAGCAACAAATTGTTTTGAATGAAAATAATAATGAACAAAATGAAATGAATGTTGAAACTAATAGATATGCAAGAATATTAAGACCTAGACCTAGAAATAAAAGTACTTCAGACAGTTAGAAATACTTAATCGATAATTAAAATAAAAAAAAAAAACCAAAAATAAGGGGGAGCGTGTTACATACTATATTATTCTATATTTATATTTTAGATTATATGGTAGGTGTGCACCTAGCTTAACATATTATACGGACAAACACTTGTCATTAACTTATAAAATTATAATAAAAGTCAGTCGTTAAGAAAATCTCAAACCGTGTGTTTCTTTTTTGAGTGCAATACACGACAGTATCACTTTGGTCTAGATGTATTTTTCTCTTCAGGGATTCAGGATTGACCAGACTGGTATCTGCCCCTGAGTCCAACAAGAGTACTAACTGCTCATTGATTGCTTGATCGCAAGGTTAAATAATGAAAGCGTTATCGCGGCTTCCTTCTGTTGTACCACAACAGATGTCTGCGACTTGGCTATAATCTTGATTCCGGGGAATATGGTGCTCAATAGATAATCCCCACTTGGTTTTCCACAACTTTGAATAAAAGTTGGATATGAACATTAAGAATAAAATCACCATTGATTGTATGAATTGTGTTACAGATTTCTTTAGCAAACCCCTATGTTCGTCGTAAGTGTGGGGTCGTAATAGTAAATCTGCGGTTTTTCTACAATTGATATCTTCTTAGTGACCCTCTTTACGCGTTTTAAGGTTGACGTTTCGATCACATTGTAAGTTATTATAGAGGCTCCGATTTCCCCCTTATTTAACCCAATTGGAGTGACTGAGGTGAGTAAACTGTTATTCACCTCGTGCATTTCGGGGTCTCGTATCTCCTGTGGTACGAATGCATTGGAGGACGTGTAGCCGTTTGTAGTCCTGCTCTCAAATCTATGAGGTTGTGGCTGTCGATACTCACGCTGTCTGTACTGTGGGGATTGATTTGAAAATCTTCTTTCAAATTGATTTGGGTCTCGGCTTTGCTTTTGACCTGAACTGAATGTATGAGTTGTATAATTTGAAGGGTTCGATGGACGGTTGGTGATATTTTGATAATTTCTGCCATCTATCTGAGATCGTGCGGATTGTTGAGCCTTCCGTATACAAAACTTATACTCCTCATGGCCTTTAACTTGGCACTGCTTGCAAAACACAGTTTGTAATCTTTTAAAACAACGCTCTTTCTCATGTCCAAATCTCTCGCAGAAACTGCAAGTTTTTACACTGGACGCGCCTTTACTAGCGCATTTCGGCCCTACTTCATGACCGTAGTCACCGCAGTGGATGCAGTACGGCGTATTTTTTCGTTGTCGACACTCATCTCTTACATGGCCTTTCTTCCGACAGAATGTACAGGTCAACTGATCATCTACTGGCTTCCTATGTTCTGGCTTAGCTTGGTTGAAATTGACTTGGTGGCCCTTCTCGATTAACGATTCCCTGGTTGCGTCGTTCCTTAAACCCTTGATAAAGCTTTTGGAGGCTAAAATTTTTAAATCTGTTAACAAACCCTTCCTATCTGACTCTCCCCAACTGGTGTGTATTATCTCCAATCCATCCGAAAGCAAACCTTCCAATCTGCTGCCATAATTACTGGCAGATTCTGCTAATCCCTGGTGCATATTGGCCATCTTGATGCGAACTTGTTCCAGAGTGTTTCTCTTGTAAAAACTACGCTGGATATACTCGCAAAACTCGGTGATCGTGTCAAAATCTCGCTTCCCTATCTTTCAACACGCTGGCCCCCGGAGACGCTGCTTCAAACAGCGAATAATGTTGAGTGTATTATCTGAATTCACTTCAGTTCCTTACTCCTGCTCCACTAGTTTGCATCCTTCTATAAACCTTGCTACTTCTGCCGCTTGCTCCGGTCCTTCTCCTCATGTGAATATCGGACAGATGTTATTCACGGAGTTCATTATCGCCATTACTAATTTACCGCTCTCCGTTAACTGCTCCGAAATTTCCTCCTCCGACTTGCCTTGATTTCTAAGACTCTGGATAAGGTGTTCGTTCTCCTCTTCCGCTGTTCCCACAAGTTCGGTCAACTCCTCTTGCCTCTTCCTAAACCTTGTACACTGCGCTTCTAAAGCAATTTTAGCCTCCTGCAGCTGTATATGTTCTTTTTGTTGTTCGTCCGATTTAATATCCTCCACTTCCTCGATTAAGTCCAACAGATACGTTATCTCCGCTAGTTGTGACAAACGTCTCTATTTAATGCTGTCCTTATGTATCTGAATAAATTCCTTGTTCTGTTGTAAAGAACCTAATTTCCGCCACGCATGTACCTGGATGGAGGCGATGAATGTTCGAAACTCATGAACTTTCTGCGCTAACTCCTCCGCTCTTGATTGAGCGTCATCCATCTATCCGTATTACTGAATACTAGTAATAGCAATCTGAATTCAAATAATGCTAAAATTAAAGAAAAAATTTTCAACGCTGAAGACCACCATTTATGTACCTAACAACGAGATTTGTCAAAAAAAAAAATAACTGCATGTAAGTGGAAACCTGAATTTTGAAAATAATAATCATGATTACATGACCTCCTACCACTGAATATTCGAATCCAGTCTATCAACTGATCACTTAAAACCAATAATTAAGTGTTATAACGATGTAAATTTAGTGCTTGGCCCAAATTTACAAAACCATTCCACTGTTTCAATAATAAAAAAAAAATAATCCCTTTTATATAATCTGAAATAAACTGTATAAACCGTATAAACCGAAAATTTACAATTAAATATTGAATTACCTTCGTAAATTCTGAATATTTTAAATAAATATATAACCCTTTTATATCATCTGAAATAAACCGTATAAACCGAAAATTTACAATTAAATATTGAATTACCTTCGTAAATTCTGAATATTTTAAATAAATATATATAAATATATTATAATATATTTAAGATAAAAGTTGAGACTAAATACAATTGGTACTCACATCCCGCTGGCATTATTTTGAAAAAAAATAATATTTTAAAATTTTGAGTTTTAATTACGAAACGAAAATCAAAACGAAAATTTACAATTAAATATTAAATTATTTTACATATATATGTCTCAAATAAATATACTATATATATGTACTATACAGTTAAGACAAATATTGCAATCGTATACAAATTAAAAAGTTTAAATTTTAAAATTCTTAGTATGCCTTAAAGGACAGCATAATAAATAATAATTGCGAAATTCTTGATTAGAAAAGACTCAATATGGCAAAAAAAAAAAATTATGGTTTTTATACCCAATCAAAACCAAAGCCAAACCTTACAGTTTGAATTGCAGAAAAGAAAACATACCTTGTTCCCAATCATTCATAGTCTGGATTCTAGAAAACAATGATGAGATTAATAAAAATACCATTTATTGTAATCTGATTCAAGGGGAACCAGCTATAAATAGTTTAATAGAACTGAAAACAACATTATCAGATCACATTCTTGACCTAAAGTAAATAAACAAGGTAATAAAACGACTTCCCGAGGCTTAAAAAATTCAACAGAGAAATAACAACAATTAATAAAACAAAAATACAACAGCAGTGATTTTGCTGCTTACGTACTCAGCAGTTGCCGATGGTACGCGTATTCTCCACGCCCAAAACCAAATAAAATATATATTATTTGACAATATGAAGGGTTCAAAATATAGCGATATTCCACATTTTGAGAGATAAATAACAATTTACCAAATAATAAAGAGAAACAAAAATAAAATAATACACATACGAGCATATTCAAATAAAATATATATTTAAATAAGTTAAGTGTATAATTACTTTAAATTTTTGTTGTTTCTATCTTTTTA